TGTTTGAATGATCAGATCCATTCATGTGAGCAGGTAAACTGCAAGTCTACCTCTGGACATGCAAGGGTTAAATCAAATCCCTTGCCCAGCTACATATCTTCATAGCGTGACTTTATTCTGTCCAGCAATCAATGGATTGCTACTTGTTACACCATTAGCCCTGTTCGACCAAATTGAATAGTGCAATTATTCTTTGGACCTAAATTGAAGGTAGGACCGTAAATGGTGCTGTTTGGTTCAGTTGTACGCCAGTTTGAAAAGGAAAACACTCAACATGTCAGACTGACCCAGACCGAATAGCATCAATTCATTCTGTGGAAACAAGACATACGTAACTGTGCTATGCCGCTGTAAAATTACAAATGTACTTATAAGTTCTTTGTCTTTTTTTTCATGTTTTCCTCTCATTCTCAGCAATTTTCTAAATTGAAAAGAGGTATGGCTCAAACCTTTTTAGAACATTTTATTAAAAAAATAAGTATAAAAATATAAATATAAAACAATATGACTCAGCATTCAAATAGCATGAAAGCAACTTGTGACAGTTTCCTACAACATACACTTTCCATTACATATTACACCTACATGATGAAATGAATTCACAGTTTGACAAAAAAAAAAAAAAAAAACTCCACCAACCATTCACATGAACATTGCTTGTCAAACAGTGATAGCAAATAGTATATACGGTGTCCATCATTAAAAACACTTTTTACATTTACAGTATTTAATGGAGTTGACTTGAAAAGCCAACTGACTCCTTCCTATATTTCCCAACCAAACTGGCACAATTGAACATTGATAGTATACAATACTACTATCTTTCATGTTGATTACAAAACACGTTATTCACACCATTATTCACAAAAAATCCTAAAATTTAAAGGCATCTTACTGATTATGACCAAAAACAGCAAAAGATTGAGATTTATATATCTCCATGTAGAAAACTCAGTTCATGTCCTACTCTGTGTTCGAATTGTCCATTCTTTTAAAATCAGTTAGCATACTGTCATTTTGTTGTGATGTTCACTGTAATTGTATTTTGTGATCCACCTTGAAGTAAGCAACTCCTTTGATCAAAGTAAACAATAATACTGCATAAACCAACTGATTACTCTAACAAAAACCATAGCATCTTAGTATTAGCCAGAGCATCTTAAACTAGCATCCTAAGGCTAACATTAGCAGCATTAAGCCGTGTCCCAATAGTCTTGCAAAAATTCCTTACTTTGCCGTAAAAGTATCATAAAGAGACCATAACTAACTTCTAAAGCCTAAAGTGACTGACCCTAGATAATTAGCCCTGCCAACATAACTCTGGTCACAGCGTCTTGGGTTTATTATTCTATTGCTGCAAAGGTGTGTCCTTTGTTCTTGAGGTGCAAATGCACACATTTTAAATAAATTAGCAGTGTTGCCAACTCAGCGACTTTATCGCTATATTTAGCGACTTTTCAGACCCCTCCAGCGACTATTTTTCAAAAAAGCGACAAATCTGGCGACATTTTATGGTGTCACTGGCGGCTTTTGGAGACTCTTACGTGAAAGCATGTGTCGTTCCTACTCTTGTCCACCAGCGGCAGCTGCTGCCGTGGGGCACCTCCCCCATCCCAACCCCGTTCTCCCGCTCCCGCAGGAGTCCCTCTCAGCGCTGCAGTCAGAGCCGCAGGATGTTTACCCTCGGCGTCCAAATGATGCGCGCATGCGCCGGGATTGACGGCGCAAATTGATCATGCAGTGCCGCTCCGCCCTGACTTACATTCAAGGCGGGAGCGAGCGGGATGTAAATGCAAAATGTTATTTGCTCACTTTTTGTCTTTCTGTAACGACATTATTTCTCCCACAGCATCAATAACAACAGATAACAGATTATGCAAATTAGGCGATGACGTCATTTAGTGACTTCTAGCGATTTTTAGCACAGCCAATAGCTACTTTCCTTACTGAGGAGTTGGCAACACTGTAAATTAGTCTGATGCGAGCCAACAGAATTGTCAAAGACTCCTGGATAGTTGTCGAAACCTCTTCAACAGAACGTTGCTAAAGTCCAGTTTCCTTACAGTTTAAGCCTGTTTTGGGATTATCATCACTGTGATAGCTCCTCATGGTTGTGTCGCAGTCACTGCAAGTGTCACTGCACAGCATAAAATTAAAAGTTATTCTGCTGCTAACACTCACTGTTAAAAAAGTAAATGGCAATTGTTGTTCTAACACACAATTGTATTGTAATCCGACTCAGAAATATAAATTTGACATCTAACAAATAAATACACGTTTGCCCAACTCAAATTCTCAGAAGTTGGTTTAACAAGGAGTTTTAAATCGCCTATACAAGATTTTTTGAGTTCCCTCAACTGTAAACTCATGGGCATGCGCACTGCTTATGTTCATGGACACGCCCACTACGGTACGGGGTTTCCTATCCCTTTCTTCAAGGGCACAGCCTTTTTCCCTCGTGTTTGAGAAGATTGGCGGACATTGTGATTTTATGCATCTGGAGAACCACGGAGGAACGACCCTGGGACCTTACCAGTTTTCCCGGTGAGTGCTGCAAAGTACAGACAGTTAGCGGTTAGCTCCGTGAGTTAGCATTCCCTTGTGGTGTATTGCCACCGAGTTGAAGCATGAGTTCACATGTTTTTCACGTTCTGATGAAAGGAAAAGCAGCGCACGTGCACGTGTATAATGCGCGTGTGCGCGTGCGTGTTTATGCCGCGCATGTGCGGGTGAGTGTTTATGCATAGAGAAAAGAGTGTGCCTGTTATTTTCATTGTACAAATGAAAAGAGACATTAAGTTGAGTGTAATAACTTATTAAATTTCTAAATTGTTTTATGTAGTGCAGTGTTGTTGCACTCAGGCACAGAATATTACAAGACTACATTATTTTACTTTCTTAATCCGATGTGGGTATTTACTGTTATTTACATTATTTACATGTGGATTTTTTGCTTTCATGATTTTATTTGCTTTACAAGAAAAACAGTGACATTAACATTTTATATGTTAACCCTGTAATGCAGCAGTTAATTCGTAATGAGTTAGAAAAGTTACATTACACACTGAAATTTATCATACTTGGAGAGATATAAACTGTACAGTTAAGAACAAGAAGTGAATGGATTTAACTAAGCCCTGTTGTGCTATGCAGGCTGGGTTTTTTGGATACCCTGGATTCTGGATTCTCTCCTTAAATGGAGATGGCGAGCCAACCGTGTGAACATCTGGATTTGGATTGAAGAGAAGGATTTGGACTGAAGAGGACTTTCTTTTTTTGCATTCATCGTCCTGTCGGAGTGGTAGGACTAAAAAGAAAAACTCAGAGATAAAAAGGGAAAACCTTTTTCTTTTTCCGTTGGGAAACAAGACATTTTATTTCATTTTATTTTTTTTAAAAGGGTGCACCCAATTTAAAGAGACTACAATTGAAAAAAACAAACTGAAGGCCGTCCAAATTTGTAAAACTGTTATTTTTTCATATATGTTAATACACTTACTTCACAAAAAATTACCTGTGTGTTTTCCTCTTACTAAAATGGTGTCTTACTGTTTTTTCCCTCATCATCACTCTTACGAATCTAGAACATTCTGGTCCAGTGTCAGGTTACTTTGATCTGTGCAGTTAAGATTATGTTGTTGAACATGGTTTTATACTGTATCTATGCAATGTTTGGCTTGAAGCAATAAAAATGTTGTATTAACATAATTTTTTGTGTGTTGAATGATTGGTAGTGAAGACGATTGGTAGGACTAAAAAAACTGAGTTGATAGAACTCAACTTGCAGATAACACTACAAAATCTGAGTTTGTAGAACTCAAAATCTATATGTCAAACTCATAAAACAAAGTTGATAGAACTCAGAACTTAAAGGTGAAACTCAAAAACCTAAGTTGGTAGAACTCAAAATTTCTATGTAACACTCCAAAAACCTAACTTGGCAGAACTCAAAAATCTTTGTAAACTCAACCACAGTGAATTTAAGTAAGGAAAACTCAAAAAACCAAATGCATCACGTTGCCTAGAAAATGTAAGTTCTGTCAACCTCTATTTTTTTTTCAGTGCTGAGACTACATAATTCTAAAAAATGTTTCAAATAATACCATTAGCTGTAATATATTTATGTTAGCATAAGTCAGTTTCATATGATATGTTAGCGATAACATATTAACCCAACCCTTGCAGCAGCACCGAAGTTAAGGGCCGTGTATACGCAGATATTTTTGATTTAAGCCCAATTTTTAAGCATGGCCTACACTATGTTATTCCACTCCACCAACGCAAGATTGACAATCACGAACTAGCTGTGGGTCTAGATCCGAGGTGGTGAAGAAGTGGAAAAATTCATGGGGCAAATTTGAGCGACAACAGACGGAGATGAGGGCGAAAAAGGGCAGGGATTCAGGTGGAAAAAGGGTCCCAGCGTTCTCGCGCACCTCTATCTTCTAGCTGGTCCATCTTCATGAGTCATTTTTAACAAGCGGTCATACAATCAAAACAAGTCAAAACGAGCATATCTGCGTTAACTGCGACACACACGCAGACGACCTGGTTCTGGACATAAACCAGGCTTTAGGCCCTACAGTAGAGCCACGGTTACAAATGATACACGCTAGAGTAATAACTCACTTACAAAAAAACTATTTTAAGACAAAGCTAAAAAAAATGTAATCCATTTATAATCGTTATGTTAAGATTTTTAGTTTAAGATGATCACAAAACTACTAAAATTAGCCATATGCAAATATTTGCACAGCTTTTAATGGATAACACCAAAACTATCCTTACCATGCTAATGTTGGCATAGTAATGCTAATGTTAGCCAAAGCATAGTAACTTTAATACTAATGCTAGTTTGCTAATTTTAACTTTAATTATTAACAAAAATTTTCCCCTGATGATAACATTTAAGAAATTTTTTTTTTTCAAGCTGTTTTAAATTTTAGCCTAACACTTTGGAAACATGTATGAAGCTTTAAGTAGATGTTTAGAAAAGTTGAAAGGTTGTCTACAAGCTAGTGCCATCTGTGCTTTTTTGAGTAAACACAGTACAATAAATAAGTTTAATGTGTAACAGTAAATTTATGATGCAAAATACAATGTGTCTGTAATTGGGAGAGATGTTTTTTGTCTTTTTTTAGCAGCCAGAACTGGGACAATCAAGCCTTAAATCCATCACTTTACATTAAGAAGTATATTCCAGTTCATCATATTTGTTATAGCTATAGGGGGAATTAAATAATTAGACAGTAACGTGTAACTTAAATGGTGCTCAAGATTCAAAAGAACACCCTGCCTTCACTATTCAATCCTTTAAATATTAAGCATGATATTGTGAGTGAACATTTCGAACACAGCTTTCCAGGTCCATGTCAGATTCCACATGTAGATTTAAGTTATTGTTGTCTTAGTGCGCATCCGTTTGTGCATTATCACGCACATTAGGTGGATCCAATAGACAACAAATTGACTATCAAGCTAGCTAGAGCAAACTAAACAAATAGAGCTTGATAGATATTAAGACAGACAGGCTAGTTAACTAACTAGACAAATATGTGTCTGGCTAGCTAGTTAGCCAAAAAGACATTAAAAATGAGTTTGTATTATAGAGAGACAGATGGCTTTGTTTAGGTCTCTCTGTCAGGGCTCCTCCCTATGTACATCTCTGCCAGCTTTTTAAACTGTGGCCCCCAGTTGCTGAGGTAATCATAATCCTGGTCCCCCTCAGTGGCAGCAGACTCCAGTGAACTCAGGGATTCTGCTAGTGAACCGCTACCCTCGTAAGCGTATGTTGCCAGGGAGTCATAAGGGGGAGCCGTGGGGTCTGAGTCGTTCTCCTGCAGCCTCCCATTTATGAAGTCTCTCACATCCGTGTTATCCTTTATCGGTGATGTCCTCCGAAAGGAAAACAGCATTTCGGGTATGATGTCCCTGCGAAGCTTGTTAGCATCCATCACCTCCGGGTTACGCAGTGTGCCGATATCAAAGGCCTGAGTGTCCTCCTCTCCTCCGCCCTCGTCGTTGTAGCTGACAACGTTGTCTCTGACATCCTCTTTGGAGATGATCAGAGGCTCCTTCTTCCTCTGCCTCCTCAGGGCAGCGAACAGCACCACGATCACTGCACAAAAACAGCAGAGAGGGAAAGCAGAGCATAAAGATGCTTGCCTACGAACATGTGTCATGCATTAGGGAGCAAAAAGCAGAAGGGAGACACGTTTGCTACCAGTGACAAATCCTTAACGCTGCCTCAGGCATTCACCTCCTATTATTAAAGATTCAGTGAAAAAGCTTTTTCTTCCCCTTTTTCCTCTGAATGGCACATTCACTTTATAAAATGCACTGTGGTTCGAGAATCCCATTTCATACTCTTCAGCGAACATCTTCATGTTTCATCTCAGGAGTAAAAGAAATCAAGGATGTTCTTGGAGATGGACTATACAGTGCTTTACAAAGGTAGACCCATTGACAATTTTCAAACTTGAATAGATTCTATTCTCATAAATGTAATATCATTCAGTTTGTAAAGCATTAATTCACAGAATAGGTCACTTTAAGGCATATTAAAACATATCCAACTTAAATCCAGAACACAGTAATATAAAGTTCATATTGAAAGATATGTCAATGCATCTAATTCAAATCAAAAGTAATTTATTATTTAATGCACTAAAATTCTGTTTGAGTGAAAGCTAAAGCTTTGCTGTGTACTTACAGCATACTTGGCCCATTTAAGCTCATTGACAAAACAAAAACCAGTGTAACCAATTATCATCAAAAGTTATCTCATTAATAGTTAATGGTCAGTACTGTACTGTAAGTTTGGTGCTTGTTGGGGAATAAAAGCTTTCATTGAAAGGATAGCCCTAAAGGTGTATTCACTCATTACCCGGTCCAAATTCGAGGAGGGATGCTTCTCATATAGTGTAAACAAAAAAGTAAACATCTTTAAGCATTAACCAAATTTATTCCATTCATGTTGATATAAGCAGAAATAGCAGAGTAAGTCTTTACCTTCTTTCTTCTTGACCATAGCTGTGGGACCAGCAAAAAGTTGCAGAACTACTAAATGTTTTCCAGTTTTTCTAAAAATGCAACATCCAGCCATGAGGTGCCACCTCCAAATTCTGAATTTGCAGTTTTCTGCCTTTGTCCCCCTGACAACAGCATTACCATATAAGGTGATGCTTGACCTTCTCTGGTGATCATCATAGGTCATCTTAGCCTTCAGCATTGGAATGTTATTCTAGCTGATTTACACAGAAAGTGAACAGATATAGACTGAGTAGTTATTTAAAACAGAAAATAAACTGCAAGGAAATCTTCAAAAATGCGATAGAGAGAAGCAAAACATTAGGGATATAAAGAGAAAACATATAAATTGATGATTTATTAGAAATTTGATGGTATATTTAAAATAAAGACAAATATGCTAATTGTCTTGGTATATTACATCAGTTTCAAATAAAAAGCTTGTGCGGGAAATAAGTAAAAACTTAAAAATCTTTAAGGGGTTTGAAAACTTTTGCTGGGTTTATGTAAATATTAATTATGCATACATTTAATTTTATACGCCTGTAATTCAGCTAGCAAAATCCTGCTTCTCCACTTCTACTTTCTCTCCCTTTTTTGTACTCACAGTGGGCACCATAGTCCTCTACTTGCCTCCCACCTACGCGTTAATTGCAGTGCTTTCAGCATGGGTTGCATAGAGTTGGCTGAAGCTGTTTCAGACATTAGGACATTTGTTACTGGTCAGTGCACGATTTCAGACAACACATAAGTGCAATTCCAGCATCCTGCATATCAGAGTCAAATGAAGGGTGATTGAGGGGGGTTGTTGGGGGGGTTTCAAAGGCAAAACGCTTCAGATAATGAGCAGATGTCATGATATTTTGTTTAACACGAGAGGCATAAAATTCAACCTTCAGTACACTTGAGAGACTTGTGGAATTTTGCCTACCAGATACAGATTTATATGTTTGGAGTTTAAAATCCAGGCAGATGGAAGAAAAGCTGGTCTTTTCTGTGTCATTATTCCGGTCAGTCAAAAAAGACCCCGCCATGGGGAGGGTCAGTTTAACACATGGAAAAAGTCGGGATTTCTTACAAACAGCAGTCAATCCACCCACACATACATGCAGATTTTTAAGGATTCTTTCTCTTAAGTTTTCCTAATATTTTTTATGACTTCTGCAGAGTTCATCACACTATGTGAGGTTTCAAGTGTGTTTTAGTAAAAACAGTTTAAATCTCAACTTCTAATCAGCTTGATATTCAGAACATTATCTTTGCATTTATGTGATCAAAAATTAAAGTCCAGCCAGGATACAAATAGTTAGATTTTTCTTTCGTTTTGCTTAAAGGGTAAAAATCATTTATTTCCCAAAGGAAACTCTTTGTTATGGTACATGTACTCTATGTGATTGCATAGCTGGCCTTTAATAACTAAAGAGTCCTTTTACGTGGTAGAATTGCCAGATATCTATTTTTATCTGCGAAATGCAATACAGAAATATCTGAAGAAGCAACTTGCATGCAGCTCTTTTAAGAACATATTTGTAAACATTTACAGTGCATGCTCAATGTAATGTTGTGCTTTGTGCAACTTTATGGTTTATATACATATAAAATATCAATAAATGATCTTGGAGTTTGTGGATGTAAGCTGGCAAGTTCAAAGGGGTCTGAATACCTTTAGAGGGCACTGTACAATTTTTGGATTAAAGTATATTGGATTACATGAGCACATGCCAGAAAAAAAAAAAAAAATCTTCCCTCCAGATTGTGTCTGTATAATTTGTGCGTTTGCATTGGTGTGAATGCAAAATCTGCAGTTTGAACTCCAGCTTTCTTTAGAGACTTGATTGGATTTTCTAAGCTCTTTTCATCTCTGCCGTCCTACCTTGCTCATCTACGATGTGGGGCTTATGTGGAAAAATAAGATAGGCATGAATTTTAAATGAAACACAGGGCAGCTGCCTCAGAATGAAATGGTCTCACTGCAATGCATACAAATAGCTTGCCATTTTCAAGCACGCATTTACTTGTCATTGATATGCATTTTACATGTAATTTTACACAGGTACAATGACTCACCAAAAGGTTGGATTGATGTAAAAGCACAGTTCTGGGTGCCATATTGTCACTTATCATAGCGTGAAACGGCATGACAGCATTACCTAAAGGATGCAGAGTTTTACAAGGCAGCAACTCAATTCTCTACTGCAGAGGTATCATTTCTTTTATCATGTATGTATTTAAGCCTCATTAAATATATAGGCTTTCCATCCTGCTCCACTGTTCATCTCAGGTAGGCGATTGAATTTCCAGTACTTTACATTGTTGTAAAAAACAAAAAAATAGACACCATGATTAAAGCTCCCCCTGAACTGAATACAAAGCTTGGTCATTTTTATCCATCCTATTGATGCTGCACTCTTGGTGCAATATCGAAATCTTTTCTGGGCTTCATCTTGCGTGAAAATTAAAATGTCTTTCTAAATTTGTATATATATATAGTGAGGCCAGACTCTTTTCCACTCATCTGCATCAGCTCTTCCATAAACTTCAGGTTTTCCAAATTACACAGCTATAACTTGATTCTCATCCATGCAAACCATTAAAAAAATTAAAATATTTAAATGGAGCCCCATAAAATAACAAATTGATTATGAAATTCTCCTCCTCACATTGAAATCTCTCCACAGACTCTCAGCCCCATACCTTTATAAATTTTCTTTTCCATCAACACTCCACCACATTGCCTTAATGCTGCAGGTTGCCTGCTCCTCGCAACACCTCCTGCCCGTCCAATCACTATGGGGTCAAGGGCATTCTGTTACACCTCTCTTCTCTGGAACTCTCTTCCAATGTTTGTAAGACATCTCTATGATTTTACAATCTTCAAATCCCATCTAAAACCACATTTGTTTGGACAAGCTTTAGGTACTTCATCCACCTTGATTTATGGTGTTGCTAACTTGTTGACCTGCTGATTTTATATTGCCGTTGTGGTGTTTCTATGGTTTTAATTGCTTTAACTTTCTGGCTGTTTCTCACCACTGTTTTATGGTGTTTTTTAAATAATATTTTATGTAAGGTGACCTTGAGCTTCTTGAAAGGCATCCAAAAATAAAATGTATTTTTATTGATATTAAAACCAGCACCTTTAAGAAAGTTCATGTTACCCCCTTTATATACTCTTTATATTTGCTACCAATGAATTTAATTGTCCATTCTAAAAGGAAAAATAGATAAACCTAAATAGGCTCCAGGTTAATTAACAAATCTTTTAAAACAAATGGTTGCTTGCTGTGTTTGCTTGGAGGCTCAGAATTCATGGCTGCTCCCAAACACCAGATTTAAGACCAAGGAAAGACAACCTTTCAGTCCGGGGCACCAAGGCTATGGAAAAATCTTCCTCTATAGCAGGGCGTGCTGTCCTCTATCACAACTAAAGAATGGCCTAAGTTTCCCAGCTCATGCGACTGATGCAAGTACACATTTGAATGAGTTTAGGGTGCAATCTTCACCGATGTAAGGCCTTAAAAAAGTTACAGAGATATTTTAATCTTCCTAAAATGGAAAAGTTAAGATGCAAAAGAAAGTATTCAGCTCTTGTCATTATTTTTTTTTTCTTTTAATGTACAATAATAGCAAATAGGTCCACAAATAGACTAATAACTTGTATTAAAAAGGGAATTTAGACATGTCCATTTATTTAACTTGGAAAAAGAGTGAGTACTAACCTGTAAAGCAAGTATTTATATTCAGACTCTCAGACTGTAAAATCAGGGGTTAAGAACCTCTTTCTAGCACCTCATTCTCAGTCATTTTGCTTTAAGATCCTAGCTGTAATCTTTAGATGTAATAAAAGAGCTGCCACAGTTATTGTAAGAATAAGTTTATTTCTGTCTCTAGATATTTTTTTAAACATAAATATTAACATCTCTTACAACACAAAGGATATAGTTAATAGAGACATATATTTTTTTTTATTTCTATGTTAAAGGACTTGCAGTTTTAAGCTTTCAAAGTCCCCTATAAGCAAACATATGATAAAATAATGCTTTTAACTAACCGTGGGCATTCATTTGTTAGAAAATGTATGTGTTGTCC